GGCCATGGATAGTCTGTGAGCAGAAAAAAAATATACTACTCTTGCTTTTAGGAAAATCCAATAAAAACTATTAAGAGGAAGTCAATGAGATTCTGTAAAAACTGTTCTTCAATTTGCATAATGTTAAAGAATAAAAATCTGTTGTAGTCAATAGTTTATTGTGGAAGAAAAGAAATCATAAACATTGCAATCTAATGAGAAATAATTCAGAGCCAAGTTGAATATAGACGAGTATGCAGCAGCATCAATTGTTCACTGATGATCTTAAGCAAGAAAGGGGAAGGAAAATCAAATCTGAGTGGAGTCTGACATTTCCATGTCAAGAGGATCAAACAGTGCTTTATGGCAATTCTGGGAAAGCACCAGCATTCCCCTCCCCACTTCAAATATATCCTCTTGGATGGGACAGGAATTAATACTATAACTGTATCTCTGTAGTATATGCTTGTATATAATGGTTTTCATAAATAACCTATATCTTTTAAAGCATTCTGTCTCCAAACAGGGCTGCTGCATTTTCTGATGCAAAACAAAGATTTTTAGTCTATTCTCTCAATCGTTTGGTCTGAGCATTTGCCTAGAACACAGTGCCAGATGCAGTTGCTCTCAGTGGAAAGCTGACAGTTCAGGGGCAAAGATTTTTGGATGTCTGATATAAGCACCAGCTGTTTGTTCCCAGTGGCATGGGACTGCTGCTGTAAGAGCTGCAAACCAAAAGTAAAAATACAGGACTATGCTGGATGTATCCACTAACTTGAAGGCTCAGGAGAGAGCAGGGGTAGAGTGAAGTGGTGCTTGGATCTGGATCTTGCTTATGCCTAGGCTTGTCTTAAGCTTATAGATAGACAGAATCAGGTGTTTAATTGCTCAGCATTGTCACCTGTTCTTGTGAAATTTTGGGGGCTCCAGATTGCTGAGAAGAGATTCTTTTTTTTTCTTTTCTACTAAATGTTCTCAGGAAACTTTTACCATCTTAAGTCACACCTGGAATGCAGCTGAAAAGCAGGCCCTTCAGACTCTACCCAGAACCAAAACCTATGGAATATTGGTTTGGATTCAGTGTTTCAAATTGACAATATCATTCCTGTCCTAATACCAGAAAAATCAAAGGGCTTCAGATGGAAGGTTCTACCTGGAAATCCTTCGGTACTTTTTATGATCAGTGAAGATATTTTAGGATCCATTGTTTGGTCACTTCATTGGATTGTCTGGGTGGCAACAAGACATCCAGTATTTCCAATGTGAAATGATGCACTGTGGGATATTATTGCTCAAACTAACTGCGAGCTAGAAAATACAAGATTTCATGCATGGGAAGGGGGAGAATTTTAAGAACTCTTATCACTGCTAAATGCCCTCCCATAGCCTGATCAGTAGGATCCTTGCAGCTCAGATATTGACATTAATTTTGCTGTGTGGTACACATGGAAAAAGGAAGAGAAACCAGTATTTTTATATCATCTTGTGAGTCTGAATATATTACCATGAAGTCTAACTCTTTCATCCTTTTCTCTCCTCTGATAATTTACCTCTGAAACTTTTTCCTGCAGCTTACTTTGTCCTCCTTTTACCTAGGATATTCTAATTTAGGCCAGAAGAACCCAAAGCCCAACTGAGCACACACCGGCAACATGCCAGAAGCCTGAGGGATGATTCTAATTTCCATAACATGGAGCAGGTTGCAGCTGTCCTCCTCTTTAATATGGAAGTACAGCATGCAGAAACTTACAGACCTAGCATGCCCTTTGCTGTATTTGGGCCTTGTGCTGTGCTCTGTATGATTTATAGCTTCCTTTCACGGGAGTTATTGCTTTTCCACTTGACATTGCTTGTACTAGAGCATGATTATTTTTTTTTTAACAGGATTATTAGGTAACGTATCTAAAAAGAGACATTCCATGTGTTAGTTAGTATGTGTACCACACAAGGCTTTTTGGTGTTGGTTGGCTTGTTTGCTGAATATTGATTCACTTTGCTGCTGGAGCCTCAGTGGGTGACTCTCTCTTTAGGGCACCATTGACCCAATGTCCTAGCATTTAGGAGTTATGATCTTTTGGATATGTTGTCTGTTGCATATGATACACAATTAGGTTCCTGACTTATTGGGAGACCATAAACAGTGCTTTACCACTTTTTGCAAGAGGCAGTGGTCTGATGTTTCCAGATCATCAATATGCACCCCTGTAGTAGCAATTTGCCATGGGTATTTTTCTCCCAGTTATTGACACTAATCCTAGCACTTGCAAAATTTATGTGCTTAAGTATAATTTGGACATAGAGATGTTTTGAATACACCAACCTAGATGTGAAAAGCCTGCATATGCCACATGTAATAGAACTACTATCTACAGCACGTGTACAGTTTATAAGCATCTACAATGCTTGTTGACTGGGGTGCTTCATTCCCCCCTCCCCCCCTTTCCCTCTTCCCCTGCAGTCAGCTCCAATACTGGTAGCAGTGGCTGTGACTTAATCTTGAAATAATTTGGACATTCTTACCACCCTAGTCACTAAACTAACTCAAAATAGAGGGAGAGGATACAACGGTCAAACAGCCTAACCCTTGTTTCCACTGGCAATGGCACTAGTGATTGGATTAGTGAAGGCTTATTTCTTCCTGAACAGGTTCTTTCAGAACAAATGCTTTTGACGCGATGATGGTGGGACTGAAGCTATCACTAGGCTACAGCAACCACCACTGAATACACCTGACTCTGAGGGGTGACCCTTGCACAGCTGCTCCTTCAAATGTGCCTTCTCTGCACCCCAGTGGTTGGCAGCAATGCAATTTTCTAGTGCTGATACCAATTTTCTAGTGCTGACTGTTGGAAGCATTTTTGAGACACTGAAATGCACTGAAAGCATTGCTTTTTGCTTTCAGCACTCTGCTGTAGCTTGCTTCAACAGTTTCAGGCAAACTCCAATCCAGGTAACTACATCCTACTGACTTTGGTGTCTCCCACACATCTTCAATTACATGCCGTGTCCTTTGCTTCCTATCTTACCATCCTTGTTTAACCCTGTTACACTTCTATCGTGCTCTGTTCTGGCCTGTGGCTGTCTTCCAGTGGTGGGTGAAGTGACTCCTGGAGCTGTGCAGTACTTATAAATCTGTAAAGCGGGGCTGGGTCTTTCTGAATCAAAAAACAAAACAACAAAAAAACAAAACCAAAAAAACCACAAACCAAAAAACCCCCCCATCCCACAATGAATGTGAAAGTTGTTCCTCCCTTCTGAATCAAACTATCACTGCCATGTGACTAGCGAGACCAATGAAAGGGGAAGTGAAATCCTAGCCTTTTAAAAGAATTGACAAGCCTGCTTTCCAGCTAGGAGGCTGTTCAGCACCAACAGTGATTCAGGTCTCCAAAGGGGTCTGACTGAGTTTTATTAAATATTAGATCATCTCTCAACTTATGTCATGGCTTGATCTCTTCCCATGATAACTTATCACTGGGCATTAGGACATCCTGCAACAACTGCAGCTGGGATCCCAATGCCTCTGTCCCTATTAGCCTTGGAACAATAATACCAGGAGTGGGGAGGGGGGGGAAAAGACAGGATCCTGGCCAGGCCCCAAGGTCATTGTACTCCCTCCCTGCTGGGGGTGGAGGCAGGCTACTGCCTGCCCTTGTAAATCCTAAGGAAAACTGCTGGGGGGAAGGGAGGGTTATGCTGGGCTTTAGCACCAGGGCTATGTGCCTCCTGTGGTGCTGGGGGGGGAAGCCGGAGGGGCACGGCAGGGGTGCTCAGCACAGGCCTGGATGTGCGGGTTAAACAAGGGGTTGTGCCCCAGGCTCGGGCCGCGGAAGACTACAGCTCCCTTGCAAGGTGGAGGCTGTGCTGTGTCCGGCTGTGAAGAGGGCCCGGGGGAAGGGTTAACGCCTCCTTCAGGACACAAGGACCCTGGTGGCAGCAGGGAGGGGCCAGCAGAAGGTGTCCAGCAGGTGACAGGGGTCTGTGCACTGTGCCTCAGGGCTGCCCCAGGGACTCCTGCCTCTTTCCCGCCTCCGCCGAGCAGGGCGAGCCCGGGTCCCTGCAGCCTCGGAGCCGGCGCTGGACATTCCCCGCAGCCGCCTGGGCCGGAGGGAGCGGGACTCACCGCGGCAGCCCCGAGGGCTGGCTCCCAGGGGGCCCTCGCTTCCCGCCCCGGCTTCTTGCCCAGCTCCGGAGCTGGGCTTCTGCTTCGCTGGGGGAGAGAGAGAGAGAGAAACTAGCTCGGGGAAGGGGGCAGAGGAAGGATGGAATGAAGATGTAGGGGCAGGGCGGAGAAGCAGCCTGGAGGGGGGGGAGGGGCCCGGGTAGGGGCAGAACCGAGCGCACCGGGCCCCGCGCACATGTAAATAGAGAGCAGCTGCTCCCCTCCGGCTCCGGCTGGCTCTTGATAGGGTTTGATTGGCTGCCAAAGACATCACCCTCCCCCCCGCCCCCCCG